CCGTAGAACACCAATTATGAACTCTTCCTTCTCTTTATCTCATACGCCACTCCGTGTCCAGTCCGCATTTAATTTCCTTGTTCACAGTTTCTTAGATGTTATTTTATCTTAGTGTCTTCTATCGGTATTTGTTTATGAATAGTTTACAGAATGTCTCCTTTGTCCAAAAGATATGTCCATATGCATGCATACAGACAGACAGACAGACAGACAGACAGGCAGACAGACAGACAGACAGACAGACAGACAGACAGACAGACAGACAGACAGACAGACAGACAGACAGACAGACAGACAGACAGACAGACAGACAGACAGACAGACAGACAGACAGACAGACAGACAGACAGACAGACAGACAGACAGACAGACAGACAGACAGACAGACAGACAGGGAGGCAAGCATTCAGACGGAATTAACCTGTGTAAGCGACACTGACGAAAAGGTATTAGTTACACAACTAAATGTAATTAGTGGCAGGTAGCTAGCTTGCATAAATTATGCACAAACACGCAGTTCGGTACATTTGTTTAAAAAAAGGGGGAGGCGGGGTGGGGGCCGGGTGGGAGGAGAGAGGGAGAGAGAGAGAGAGAGAGAGAGAGAGAGAGAGAGAGAGAGAGAGAGAGAGAGAGAGAGAGAGAGAGAGGGAGAGGGTGTACTGATGTTGGTCGTGTCCCTTCCCGTGAGCTAGTTATATTTCTTTAATTCTACTTCTTTTCAGGATTTATTAGTGCTTTTCTTATTTTTTTCACGGGTGGGGGGGGGGGGGGGGGGGGGGGGGGTAGCGGTGTATGTGTTGGGGGGAGGGGTTGTTGGGGGGGGGGGAGTAGTAGGTTGTGCAGCGCTATAATAAAAAAAGGGTGGAATGGAGCAGGGGGGGGGGAACATTGCTTTCTTAACAAATACATCGCAAACTGTTAATATTGAACAGTTTACTGACATCGAATGTTGTGAGGCTGGCGTGGCCGGTCAGTGGTAACAATTGTTATCGAGTAGATTTATACACAAATTGAACTACAGTTTATTTAATTTGCAACATGTGTTATTGAATTATTTATTGTTTTAAGATAAATAAATAAGCTGTTCCAAAATATTTATATTCAAAATAATGGGTTGTGAGCACTATTTCACAGTCCCTACATATACTTTAAATTGAGTTTCATTTGCAAGCGACTGTTTCGTTTCAAGAGTGTCCCACCTCTCAGAAAGTGATTTCAAACTACCAAACCCGATATTACCTGGTTAAACCAAGCAACCACCCAGTTCAGGTTTCCCGGCCCATCTACACATGAACCTTTCGTTCATCCTTTCTCAGACAGTTCAACGTCAGAGGGGTGTCACGTTGTCTAGCCTCCAGTTATATCAGAGCTGATCTTGCTTGTTAAATACTACACAACGACACAGCTTTCAACGACTATAGATCATCTAAAAATGGTCCTAACCTAAAAACCCCTATACACAGCCTGACACTAGACCACACAAGAGACTCTTCGAAGAAAGCAATACAACGTGACACCCCTCTGGCCTAGATCAGAATGAGAAACTGTGTGGATGGGTCGAGAATCGTTAATATGTCTCAAACAACCAGTAAATTATGGGTTTGGTTCGCCTCGACCTTATTGCAATGAACATTTTAAAAACATCAGTTATCTTTTTTGTTTATATTGTTAAAAAAAAAAAAAAAAAAAGGTAAAGTCGGGAGATGTGAACCAGCGTCATTGCACACGGTAATAAACCATAAGTGCTCTGCCACCAGTACGGACAGCTGATAAGAATTGTCCGCCTGTGTCGCCGTTCGCAAGTAACTCTGTAGCTACAGCGACGTTCCTCCATCTACCCCAGGGTTCCAACTCTGGTACCCATTTCCTTGAGGCTGGGTGAACCCCGGAAGCCGCCCGGTTTCGAACACCGACCATGGGCTGCAGTGAGTCGCAGCTGGATTTGAAAGCGTGCTTCTTATCGACTGCGCTAATGTTGTTCAAGACACTTGTTTTTTTTCTTTTTTTTCTATCTCTATTTAAATAAAGCTGCCGACAAACGACTACTCTAGGTTGACTTATCTCTTTCTCTGCGTGACTTCCCAGTCGGTGCTGTGACTTGTTATTCTTATTATATGGTTTCCTATGAGTTTAATACGCGTGTATGATGTTACATTTGTTAAGACTCTAGTCTGTGTCATTGTTTTTATTTTCTTACAAGGCACAGTGCTGAACATTCTGTAAGGTTTTCATTGGCCTAGGAATGGGAAAACTATGGGCTGAAGCGGTTACTACGGAGTTGGAATTGCGATTACCAGGTTATACGATTTTTGTAATTTTACTTGTTGACAAAGACGTAGGTGAAAACTTCTACTGTACATTTGCTTGTCATTTTTTCTTTCACTTCTAGTTGATTTTCTTGTCTTAGTTTTATTTATTGACTTTTTACGTAGCCGCGGGAGCCGTTGTGGTGTAGCGGCTAGATACTCGCCTGCGGATGCAAATATCGCTAGTTCCGGTCCTGACGGTGCCGGACTATTGTTCAAAAAATGTACTTGGCTTCCAGGTCCACATATCCTTACATGAGTGCCGGGTAAGGTCATGAGAAGTAAAAACGGTCGACGTTATGTTGATTACATCAGCCACCGAGTGCCGATTGGTCTATAAAATATAGGTCTAGCCCTATATGCCCAATTCGCCCGAAAGCATAGACAATTTTCAGTTACTTTACTTACGTAGCCAACTTGGCAACTATGAACTTCTTTTAATTACAGTGAAAATGTGAAAAAATGAGGTATGGACATGTAATAAGATTTAACGGCCTTTAAAAAACAATACAGCAGGGCTCAGTAAAGGGAAAGGGGAGAAAATGCAGACCAAGAAAGACCTGGTTACAGAACCTGACTGACTGGACAGGCCTCATGCATGCAACCATGAAATTCATCGCAACTGACAATTTCTAGAGGCCCCAAAGATGTGGTTTTACAGAAGAATGCTTAGAATACCTTGCACAGCCAAAAAGAGCAACCAAGAGGTTTTGAAAGAGGCGGGAGCCCGAAGACAACTTATCACAGACACCAGAAGGAGACAGTCATAATTTTTCGGCCATGTAATGAGAATAGGGAAAATAGAACATGTTGTGACCACTGGAAAGATCTTTGGAAGGATAGATAGAGGAAGACAACGAGAGAAGATGCTTGACAGTCTTGTTGTTTTGCATGAAGGTGTGTCGGCACACGAACTGATACATGCTGCAGGAGATCGCAGATTATGGAGAGGCATGATCGCCCACGCTAGACGACAAAGCACCTGATGATGATAATGATGGTTTTACTGGGCGATTTTACATGGAGCAGTTTATTATTGCCACTCTAAACTGTCGGCGCTCCATACCATTGTCGAAATCAACCAAGAGCAACCGCTACCAAATCGCAGGTAGCTGAATTAAACCGGCTATTGCTGAATTATAGATCGCGTTCGCAACCTGTTATACCACATATTCATAAAACAATGTGTAAACCCACCCACACTGGACAACAGTTTACCTCCTAACAGTTATGTGCTGGGTCAGTATAAGTAATCAGAGGTAAAGTAAGGGTTCCTTTTCCACACCATCATGCCTATTGGACGTATGATATTAGACCTATATTTTATAGACCATCAGCACTTGGTGAATAATGTGGTCAACTCATTCCGGTCGCCTTGACATCCCATGACCTATTTAAGGCTGGGTCGACCTGGGAACCCATGACCTTCAAATCAGGCGAGCGAGCGAATAGTCGCTACACCTCGGCGGCTCCCGGCGCCCCGGTATAACTGGGGCTATAACGCATCATCATCATAAACCACTTCTGCCGTTAAGCGGCGTGGGGAGGAATAATTTGCGATCCAGTGCACGTTTGGCTGCCAATGACTATTGTCATGCCGTGAACGCGAAGACTGTCTTTAATGTTGTCGATCCATGTTTTCCGCGGCCGTCTTCTTGCTCTTGTAGTTGATCTTCTGAGATGTAGTGCTTGTGATGGTATGTGATCTTGCTGCATTCTAACGAGATGGCCAAACCACTTCATCTGCTGCTTCTCAATGAATCTAGTACAAGGTGTCGTTCCCACAATTTGCCTGATTGTTTCATCCATTATTCACTCGATCTCGTATGGTTAGGTTGGCTGCTTTTCTCAGGCACCTCATCTGGTAGCTTAAAGTCGGAACGAATATGCTATTAATAATCTGTCTCTTTTCACTCATAGTTATGCTTGGATGTTGGGGCTATATCTAAGACAAGAAAATTCAACTAAAAGTGAAAGAAGAACTGTCACGCACGTGTACTGTGGAATTATGGACCTTTTACCAGCAAGTGAAATTACAAGATTCGTGTAACCTGGCAATCGCAATTCCAGCTTCATAGTAACCGCATCAGTCCATAGTTTCCCCATTCATGGGCCAATGAAAACCACGCACAATGTCCATCACTGTGATTTGTGAGAACATAAAATGGCATACGGTTGATTGGTTTTCCGAGATTTCTATTTTTGATTCTCAGCCTTGAGATGTCAGTCCTAAAGACAGAAATCCTGAGAAGAAAATTTTATAAAGATTTTTTTTTTTAAACTCCCTAGAGCCTGCTAGAGGATTCCACACACTAGAAAGTAGGTCATGACGAGAGAAACATTGATCTCAACAGCAGGTTTGTTTGGCAGAATTTGTAAAAATCATTGAAACAGTCGCAAGTAAGCCGTGCGTGACGAAAAGAATCGAACAAAGACGCGTTGGTAGAAGAACACACAACACAGGTCATTTTTGGTGACACGTGACCCCATTACCCCTAGTCAAACCCAACAAACTACACTAGCCTTCGTGGTCACCTGTAAACAATTGTTACCCCCCTCAAAAGGGCAGTAGTTCATGGACCATTTTTGAACTTTGATGTACACATTTTGAAGCGCATGGCAAGTGTGTCACACTAACAGTACACGCCGTCGTCTGCTCCGGATGTTTATCTTTTGTATTCACTCGTAAAGAAGATGTATCTAGCAGTGGTACTAGCATTTATTACAGGTGAGTGTAATATGGACTTTTATATTTTTAACTCATGTAATAGTAAATAAGCAAGTAAACTAATTCCTGAAGAGAAGCAAATTACCCACATTAGAAAAGATGTTAGTTACAACGTGGGAAGGGAAAACGAGTCAGTATGTCGTGACAAAAGGAAGCTTGAAGTAAGTGGGAAGAGAAGCAGAGAAGACCAGTAAAGAAGATGATCATGAATAGTTTGACATCGTAGCATGGAGAAACATTTATTTCATACATGACCGAACGTACACGAGAGGTTTGAGATTTGAACAAAGGATCAACATCATGGCACACGGGTAGTAACCCATCAGTGCTTGGTTCTTTTTCGAAATCAAGTCTGAGTCAGTAGAAGCTTAGCACAGTGCACAGGCTCTGTAGCACCGGTGGGGATCCTGAAATATTATGGGTAATTTTAAACTCCACATTTTTGCGAGGGCATGGCCGTAAGGCTACTCTGTTCTCTTTTTTTTTTTTTTTTGCGCGCGCGGGCAGGGCTGTTAGGCTACTCTTTTCGATTTCCAATTGCCATGGGATTTTTTACGTGTGCAACAATGCACACGGGCGTTCGATCTCACTACCCAGAGACCAGAGGGAATTACTAGAAGTCCAAGTTTACGTAAAAAAAACCTGCGCTTACTGGGAATTGAACCCGGAACCTCTAGCAACCAGCACACAAGTGGGAATAGACGAGAGACCTAGTTTCTCTCAGGTGGGCTGTAATGCGTGCGACGTTCTGCAAAGGACCTGCTACATGATATTAGTAGTTATCGTAAATAATCAAGTTCACCCTTTAGATTTATAAATAGACTGTATAGTACCCATTGAATTCCTAATTAATGTTTACGTTTGTTGTTTTTGTTGCACAGTTATATTATATAATTATTGCCTTCAGACATGTATTTTAGTCATATTACTTTGTTTGTGTCCCTTTTATACTTTCCGGCCTTAGAGGTTATGATTGGGATTAATAGTATATAATTTTTTTTTTTCATAATGTATAATACCTGATACTTTAAAATAGCTGATTTGCTCTTACCGAACATGTCTCTTTTCCTTAAAATTGATCGTCTGTAACAGACAGACATAATTTTAGCATTTGAAATGCCTACTTTGTGTCAAAGACTGCTTTAATTTATTCATCACCGCCTTTCGTGTATGCTAAGCTTTAAATAATGTATCTGCAACTGACATGCATGTTTATAAAGGCAGGTTTCTGTAGCTATCTGAAACATAGACAATAAACAACGGTTTATTCTTATGGCAGCTGACAGTTTGTGTTTTCGGAAATAGGAAAGAATGCCATAAAATGGACAGAAAGACGTTTTCATTACGAATCACAAAAATTGAATTTATTATGTCAAAATTTGTTTTAAGTTAATTGTTCTGGGGCGTTACTGGGACTTTATTCTGGCGGCACTCAGCAACGACACCTCTTTTTATGCTTGGCTTTTTCTCACTACTATAATTGACACTTTGCAGTGAGTACAGGCTCGGTTTGAAATTTAAAAAAAAAAGGACACTTTGTGGTAAATACCAGCACATTTTTCTAGAGACCCTTCTCCCACCACACCCCCGACATTAGACAGGAAGAACAAATGGAAAAAAAAAAACTTAAAATCTTGGTAATTATTGGAAATGTTGTTGGCATCTTTCTATCTTTCTCTAATATAGTATTGTGCTGTAAGGAGGTGTAGAAACTACAACATATAGCAGTGGTGAAGGTGGCTTGCAAGGCCAGCATGCGACAAGAACTGTTTTCTACGGTGGCTGCATGGGAATTCTGGACCATTTTTGTCATTGCATGTTTTTCTTTTTTTTTAAACGCTCAGCTCTTAGTGTATCTGCAGTCACCTTCTCTTTTGCTTCTATTCCCTTCCTGATCTTTCCTCTCCAGGCAATGCAATCTGTGGAATCCTGGTCCCATGACTTTACCCTATTTCATTTATGTCCCGCTTGCATGCGTCTTTGTAATGAAGCAGCGGTCGACTAGGAGGTCTTCTGCCTGTCTGTAATTCACAATAGAGGATGTCCTTTGGAACTCTACCATCCTCCATTCTCTAGGTGTGACCAAGCCACTTAAGCCTGCGAAGACTGAGCATTGAAAAAAATTGTTTGAACACCTGCTCTTTCCAAAACATCAGTTTTTGTAATCGTACCTTGCCAGCTAAATCGAAGTATTTTTTGTAAGCATCGCATGTGAAAACTGTTAAGTTGCTTCTCTTGAAAAGAGTAAATTGACCAAGTTTCACTACCGTAAAGTTTTGATGACACTTGCTTGGTAGATAAGGGTCTTTGTTTTAACTGTGAGCTTCCTGTTCTCCTAAACTCTCTTATTCAATCTGCTCATTGTTGTTGCTGCCTTTCCTATCCCGATGTTGATTTCTTGATCCAGGGATAGTTGGTTGTTAACTGAGGATCCAAGATGTGCGAAACTGTAAACCGTTTCAAGCTTTTTACCCTGAACGAAGATTCTAGGTCTGTGACAGACACCTTGTGCCATAACCTGTTTGTTTTCTTCTTGCAAATTGTTAGATCAAATTCACAACAAGCATAAGAAAATGCACGGAGTAAACGCTGCAATATCTCTCCTGAGTGGGCTACAATTGCAGCGACATCCGCAAAAAGCAGCTTCCTGATGACCTTCCTGATTCTTGTTTGGGCTTTCAGTCTGCGAGCATTGTAGAGGCCTCTGTCTGAGCGAGAATGGATGAATATGTCATCCTCCTCATTTCGAAATGTATTTTTTTCAAGAGGACAGAGAAATTTACTCAAAAGAGGGAAGGGCAAGTTACCCCCCCCCCCCACCTCCTTTTCGTCTTCCCCTGGGTATTACAGAGAAAGAACAAAAGAAATCAGCTTAAAATCTTGGTAATCATTGGCAGTATGGATGTGAAAAGTGTAATGGCGAGACACAAACGTTATAGATTGGTTAAGCACATGACACAATTTTAATGGTACAAATAAATTGATCTATAAATGTGAGGGGGAGGGGGCACAATAGTTTTCTGAATGGTGTGTGGGATACGTACTGAAAGTCAACATTATGGCTAAGCTGATAAGCTTAGAGCTTCCCATCATAGGCATTGGAACATCGAGGCCCGTTAAGGGCCCATTCCCCTCCTCTCTCCCCTCCAAAGAAACATTCTAAAGGTAATCAAAAAAAATACTCAATTGAACTGCCCGGGATAATCTAAGAAAGTCTTATTCTCCCGTCCTCTCCCTCACTTTTTCTCCACCGCTGCCCTATTTGCAGGTCTAGTGCAAACAGGAGTCTAAATCCATATATTTAACATCCAGTTCTCTACTTTATATCTGTCTCCACAGCTGACGTATCCCTTGTCTCCACCACTGCCGTAATCTTGTCTCTACCGCTGCCGTATCACTTGTCTCCACCGCTGCCGTATCCCTTGTATCCACCGCTGCCGTATCCCTTGTCTCCACCGCTGCCGTATCACTTGTCTCCACCGCTGCCGTATCACTTGTCTCCACCGCTGCCGTATCCCTTGTCTCCACCACTGCCGTATCACTTGTCTCCACCGCTGCCGTATCCCTTGTCTCCACCGCTGCCGTATCCCTTGTCTCCACCGCTGACTTATACCTTGTCTTTGCCCGTAAGTACATCCAAGCCGTCTCCTGCATTACTAACAACAGTATTAAACAATTCAAGAGACAGACAAATTTATTGTCTCAGGCACATGTAGATATTTGGTTTCAATAAAGATAACAGCAAAATATAATTTTTTTATTTGCTTTTTCGAGAGAAGTAATAGAAAAATAATATTCAAAGTGATATAACTCCAGCGAAATTTGAAACCTTGAAACTTCACCTATGAATGACGTTAACTGCTACTTTTGTTTAAGTCCTAGCCTGGTGTCTTTTTTCAGCGAGAGGTTTAATTTTTGCCTAATGTTTGTTCGGTAATTTAAACCTTCTCGACCCAGAGCTTGAAAGCAATACCCCCAACACCTGCTTTTTGTTACGGACACTTTTTATTCTAAAGTAGATACTAAGGTCTACATCAGTGTTCATCAAGCTGTTTAAAGCCCCACTCTAGCTGTTGCCGGGGGTCGTAATATATCTCATCCTATGGGTTGAACAGGGTTTCTGTGACCTGTCACAGGGGTGATCATCATCTGAATGATAGCACTTTGTGTCACCGGGTGTTTATTGATAGGTGTGATGTACTGGTGATGTTGAACATCCTCATCAACCTGTGGACCATGTGGGTTGCCAGAAATGTCTACCTAATCCTGTAACAGAGTTCGGTATGTAACTTTCTCTTCTAGGATTGCAATCTGTAGGAATAAATGCTCAATGATGAGGATCAAAACGATGCCCCCCCCCCCCCCAACCACACCCCAGCCTAAAATTTTAATTCTGTGACTTATAATTTAACAAATAAACTGCTATTTAATCTACACTTGCTCTTGTTTCTATGTCTGATTGGCCGTCAGATAAGCAGAGAAACATTTTCGCCTGTTTTGGTAAGCCGTGGGTGTAAAAAAGGTTGAGGAACTTTGGTATAAGGGCAGTGTTTCTCAAACTATTTTTTTAACACCAATGGCCAAGCAAAGCAGTGAACATTGTTTCGCGGCCTACATGACAGCTAACCAAACACAAAAACATAAACCAATTTTTAAAGCAGTCACAAAATTTAAATTTTCAGCCTTTGCGACACCTTTTGATTTTCATAGACAAAGTGTTAGTGCTACAGACTACCTTCTGTACCCGGTTACACGATTAAGCATACATTTTTGGCAGTTTGAAGAACAGAGGTCTAGGGTACAGTTTCATGTTGACCTCTCTCTGTCACATTTCGCTTTGTGCTCCAAGTTTTGTTTTCCCGTGTTGACGTTAGCATGAAGTACGAAACTAACTATAATCAGGCGAAATACAGTAAGACTTCGATTAACCCGTCAATCGTTTAACCAGTAGTTTCTGTTATCTGTCATCGCCTGCGTGAATTTCAACGAGCAAATAGACT